AACCGTAAAAAATTGACCAATCATAATCGAATTATAGAAAAATAATCGACTATGATTGGTCAATTTTTTATAGTCCTGGCATAAGTTAATGGATTACAGCCATCATAAACCAGCTTTTATTTGTAGTTTCTGATTAATAATTTATTGTAGAAGACCTATTATCATTACGTTGCATTGCGCGGGTATAATACATAGTAGAAAAGCTGCGCAACAACATGCCATACTAGGGACATATTCTGAATCCTCTTTTACTTAAAAAAGTATTTCTAAAAGAGGCTTAGGAGCCACCTTATTGGCTTAGAAATTATATTTAAGGCATTTTTATCGATAAAAGAGAATTCAAAATACTATTGTCGTTAGAAAGTTATAGAGCAGGCTGCGCGGGTCCCTCCCGCTTCAAAGAGCATCGTCGCGCGGGGAAAATCTGTCGACTTCGCAACACCAATCAACACGAATATCTACATCACCATCTTATTAATGGCGTCACCATTTCTTTGCGTCACTTGATCGAGTACGTTGGATTCGATTTCTACGGCTTCCGTATGCGAACTGTCGCGATCTGTTTACTGTCAAGAAACTGTGTTTGCTAAGGAATCCGAAGATTTGTCCTGATAAGGCATAAATATGGGTCGTTATAGAAGGTAAGTAGACCGAATATTAAGGTGAATTTTCTCCAGGCACGTTGTACCGACGCGAGCGCATCCATGCTATATAGTGGTTATCCTCCTGCCAATGCTCCTGACAGAAGCATTTTTCGGTAGCTGTTCTGTCGCTTAGTTTACACCGAATATTTGATACTAAATAGTAACTTTCTATTAAATAATCTTAATATCGATGATATATGTATCATATAATGGCATTTTATAATGAAATACTCGTCGAAGAAGACGTGTCAATTGAATACATTGTCGTTGACATAAAATGTCAATATTAAAATTACTTGATAAAAAGTTACCTTTTAGCGCGCGTATCAAACGTCCAGTGTAAAGAAAATCTTTGACAGATGTGAGAATTGGTCTAACTTATACGCAATTTCTCGCAGCCGTAGTCGCGACAGAGACAGAAGACGCAGATCGCGCACTCGTTCGCGCAGTAGGTCACCGCGTGACAGGAGGAGCTGGGGAGGTAACAGCGGACGTGACAGAGCCACGAATAGTCGTAACAGTCGCGGACAGCCCGGAGCTAACTTGAGAAAACCTCGATGGGATCTCAGTCGATTGGAGCCCTTCAAGAAAGATTTTTATATTCCCAACGACGCGGTGCAAAATCGGGATCCACGTGTTGTGGAACAGTACAGGAGTGAAAAGGAGATCACGTTAAGAGGCAAGAACATACCCAATCCTGTCTTCAATTTCGATGAAGCTGGTTTTCCAGAGTACGTCCTCAAGGAGATCATGTGAGTATACGATTCGTTTTTAGTCCAGATTCTTGCACATGAATCTACATACTGCAAAGATCAAGTTCTGACATCTGTAGTTGTGGTTGATGTTGTTTTTACTTATAGGTACTTGTAGCATGTGTAGATAATTTATGTTTCAAATTGCAGTAGACAGGGTTTTAATGAACCCACATCGATACAGGCCCAAGGATGGCCTATTGCTTTAAGTGGACGCGATATGGTAGGCATCGCATCCACAGGATCTGGGAAGACATTGTCCTACATATTGCCTGCCATAGTTCACATCAACAGCCAGCCAAAACTAAGCCGTAAGGATGGACCTATTGCATTAGTATTGGCGCCAACGCGAGAGCTTGCTCAACAGATACAGCAGGTTGCCGATGACTTTGGACACTTGTCAGGTATTAGGAACACCTGCCTATACGGCGGAGCACCGAAAGGCGCGCAGGCTAGGGATTTGGACGGTGGCGTGGAGATAGTCATCGCTACACCCGGAAGACTATTGGACTTCCTCGAGTCTGGGAAGACAAATTTGAAGAGATGTACATATTTGGTGTTGGACGAAGCTGACCGAATGTTAGACATGGGGTTTGAGCCGCAAATCAGGAAGATTATAGAACAAATTAGACCTGACAGACAGACATTAATGTGGTCGGCCACGTGGCCGAAGGAAGTGAAGAATTTAGCTGAGGATTTCCTCAAGGATTACGCTCAAATCAATGTCGGCTCCTTGCAGCTTGCAGCTAATCATAATATATTACAAATAATCGACGTCTGTCAAGATTATGAGAAAGAGAATAAGTTAGTATAGACGATGGTTTAAATCTGCTATCGATTTATCGGCTTCTCGATATATCGATACGTGGATAATTTTATCGATCAAAAGGAACTGTTCTCTCGAATATATTTACAGATTAAGCACTCTGCTGAAAGAGATAATGGCTGAAAGTGAGAATAAAACTATAGTATTTATTGAAACAAAGCGTAGAGTAGACGAAATTACACGAAAAATGAAACGCGACGGTTGGCCCGCTGTTTGCATTCACGGGGACAAGACACAACAGGAACGAGATTGGGTTTTACAAGGTACGGGCGACTTGAAGTATCTCCTGCGGAGTAATGGCACACGATGCTTATTTTCGTGCTTTGCTTGCTGGATGGAAATACTCTATTCTGATTGGTGCATTTCTGAAGATAGATGGGAATGCACCAACCAAAACGAGTGTTTCCATCCAGCAAGCAATTCAGCACGAAAACAAGCGCTGACTTTAAGTAAAGAATATTATTATTTACAATCGATTTGTGTGTAGATTTCAGATCAGGCAAAGCACCAATCCTTGTTGCTACCGATGTCGCCGCGCGTGGGCTTGGTAAGTAATTCAAAGTTTTCGACTTGTATCATGACACAACGATATTGTATATTATCAGTTTTCCTGCAACATGGAAAAGTAACTGGTTAATATTCACGGTATCGATTTTCCCCAAAATTATGATCAATTATTATTTTTCTTTTTTTTTATTTTATTCATTTTTTTATAATGCTCTATTCTGACCGAAGTCTCTGTAAATCTCAGCTGCAATGTAATGTTCCGTTAAAAGTGTATTCTGAAAAGATACCAGCCGTTAACGTTCACGAATCATTTAAATCTTGAAGATAATCAAGTAATTTTCGTAAAGAAAGTATGCAATCACCCAAGAGCTAATTGTGTAGCTTGTCTAATTGTATTAAAGCCACGTCTCGTATCATATCGATCAAAGAAATTGAATGAAAATCAAATGCTTTTCGTTAAAAATTTATATAAATATGTGTTCCGAAATCGATTTCGGAAATTTCGGTTATAGTTATAAAGTTGGTAGGACTTTAACTTTTGGATATGTTTCGTAATTGATCAACTAATTCGCGGAATTGACTTTATAATTAAAAGGTTACGCAAAGTGCTAATAGAAGAGAATATTTAAAGTGAGAGAAAATTGAGAAATAGTGAAATATCTTGGATTAAAAATGGAGCAGAACTCATTTAAGAAAATTTCCACAACAAAAAATCTATATAGTAAATAATAAATATACGTGTGAAAATAAAATATTTCTGTAGTTTCGAAAAAGATTTATTTGAAAACTAAAAACAATAACTTCATTATTTCTAATATGCATTAAAATAAAATAAAAATCGATGTCATGGATGCCTTATCTTGAGATTTATAGTCGAAACATTTTTAGTTTAGTATCGTTTTTATATTTTAGTGCATGTTTCTGTTAACATATTTATTGATCACTCAGGTCTCCAACAATAGATCGATATAATTCGATTATCAATATGCGACAATAATAATTTAATCAGAAATTAAACTCGGAATTTTGGAATTATTAAAACATCACTGATGCAGTGTGTTCTTCTTCGCTGAGATAAGCTTCTAATCACATTCTAATCACACGAGTCACATGAATCAGCTAATCAATTATGAAACATATCTAAGTTAGTTTAAGGCTTATCAGTCTTATAATTAAAACCAAAGTTTCCGAAATCGATTTCAGAACGTATACTAAGAGAAATGTTCATATTTTTGTTCAATATTCAGTCGCTTGAATGCATGCGACACCGCACTTGTAACATGTCTTGCACTCTAGTCCGGATTGCTCCGCGTGAGTCTAACGGAACATTACAGTTTGAACGCGTTGTAAGGCTCAAAAGTTCAGAAGCACGTTGTGATTGGAAGAAAATGAGAGACATTGCAAAAAGAACACGATAGAGAAGGAATAGGGCACAAAAAAGAAAGAAGCATATTGAAACAGGAGGATGGTCGGAGGTAACAATGCAGCTAACGCGGTTGGATCTTTGTTTGTATTGCAGAGGCACATTGCGCGCAGGCCCACGCTGGGTAATGCAAAGCATTCGGGGGTGCCCGCCGCCTCTTTGTTCGGTGGTGCACTGGTTTGCATTGTCTGCGCTGGCCGCGACGCGTGCCTCTATTCGTCAATCGCGTGAAGGGCCAAGTCCGGGCCAAATCGGGATCTACTACTACTACTACTACTACTACTACTACTACTACTACTACTACTACTACTACTACTACTTTACCTACCTACCTACATACTGGATATCAGTCCTACGCTGTGCTGTACGCCATCTGGGCTGGCCAGGTCGTTGTTGCCAGAATAGAGTCCCCTGCGCTGGCCGCTCAAGCTAATCAGACCCAACAACGGTCCATTGAGGCGGTGGCATGATAGCTGATGCCAGAGCCTCTCTAGCGCGCCCTGCGCCTGTAGCAACAGAGTGGCGGAGGCAGTAGCTGGAGCGAGCGCAATAGCCAGGCCCTGCCCGTACGTTGCTAGCGAAAATCTCGCCCACAGCCTAATTTTAGTATTATATAGTTCGAGTTTAATTAATCAACATACATATATCGACACTCATATGAACATATTACATTACACGTAACACGCACACACAGGACACACACACACACACACACACACAAAAGCACGCACATGAGTTCTTGTACGCGTATATATAAGTACATGTATGTATACATGTGTTCCTCTGTTTGTATGATCGTTAATTTGCAGGTGATGGATAATGTCTCTGTTACATTGGCCGTTTAAATATATATATATATATATATATATATATATATATATATATATATATATATATATATATATATATATATATATATATATATA